TATGTTGTACAAACAATTTCGCCAACCGTTTTGCAGATGGCAGACCCTTGCAGGGGATGAAGTGGGCCTGCTTAGAAAAGAGATCCACCACTGTCCAGATCACCGTGTAGCCCCTCACGTTTGGCAGATCTACAATGAAGTCCATCCCGAGATCCTGCCATGGGCGGTCCGGGTCAGATACTTGCTGTAGTAATCCCATGGGTTTTTTCGGTACCGTTTTTGCTTGGGCGCAAAGGTGACACCGTTTGACATATTCTTCAATGTCTTTCCTCATCCCTGGCCACCAGAACTGGCGTCTCACTAGATGGAGTGTCTTTACAAATCCAAAATGGCCGGCTGTTTTTGAGTCATGACATCTGTGGTACACTCGGTTCCTTAGTGCCAGTGGAACGTATAGCTTATCCCCATACCAGGCTAACCCATCACGACGACTCAAGACCCCAGGGTTAGCCAAAATCCAGGGGTCTGTTAACAAAGCCGATCTCAGCCCATCCTCGAAGGCTCCTAACTGTGCACCCTTCTCAGGCAGGCCGGGACCCGGATTATACGGAGGTATGATAGCGTGAATCACCTGCTCTCTCTTGCTATTGTACTGTGGTAGCCGGGATAGTGCGTCGGCTAGGAAATTCTTCCCTCCCGGAACGACTTTCAGGTGGAATTTGAACCGTTGGAAGTATTGTGCCCATCGCACATGTTTGGGTGCTAATCTTCTTGGGGTTTGGAGGACCGCTAGATTTTGATGGTCTGTCCACACCTCGAAGGGGTGCTGTGCGCCCTCCAGCAAATGACGCCATGTCGACAGGGCCCATTTCACAGCAAACGCTTCCTTCTCCCACACTGCCCAGCGGCGTTCCGTGTCCGTGAATTTTTTGGACGTGTAGGCACACGGTTGTAACAGTCCGTCTGTATTACGTTGCAACAATATCGCCCCAATGGCAACATCGCTGGCGTCGGCCTGTACGACGAATGGCCGGCCTGGATCGGGGTGTATCAGAATGGGTTCTCGTGCGAATAGTCCTTTAAGGGACTCGAAAGCCTGTTGGCAGGCCATAGTCCAGGCAAGAGGTTGTCCTGGGCGAGGTTTTCCGGTTAATCGCTTGGTGCGCAACAGCTGAGTCAGCGGCAGGGCCACGTCAGCGAAGGAGGGGATGAACTGCCGGTAAAAGTTCGCAAACCCTAGAAACCGCTGTAGCTGACGACGGGTTTTTGGCGCTTGCCATTCCAATACGCATTTTACTTTATTGGGATCCATTTCTATCCCTGCCGCCGACACTCTGAAGCCAAGATAGTCAATACGCTCCTTGTGGAATTCGCATTTCGATATTTTACAGTACAGCTGAGCGTCTAACAATTTTCGTAGAACCGTGCGCACCAATTCCACATGTTCCTCTAGTGATCGTGAGTAGATTAAGATGTCATCCAGATACACGAGGACACCCTTGTATAAGTGGTCGTGCAGCACCTCATTGATCAGCTGCATAAACACAGCCGGGGCCCCTTGTAACCCGAATGGCATTACTTTGAACTGATAACTGCCTAGCGGACAGTTAAAGGTTGTTTTCCACTCATCTCCCTCCCTGATGCGAACCCTGTAGTATGCCTCACGGAGGTCCAGCTTTGTGAAGATGGTTCCAGTAGCCAAGTGGGTCAGAAGGTCTTTTATAAGGGGCAGGGGATACACCTGTTCTATACACACCGCATTGAGACCTCGGAAGTCTACACATAACCTCAAACCCCCATCCTTCTTTCCCTGGAACAGTACAGGGGCGGCCATCCGAGACCGTGCTGGTACTATAAATCCTCTGGCTAAGTTCTTATCCACGTACTGCCTCATCTCCTGTAACTCCGTGAACGTCATTGGGTACATTCAGGCCTTTGGGAGTTTCGCCCCAGGGATAAGTTCAATCGCGCAATCTGTACGCCTATGGGGAGGCAGACTGTCGCACTCCTGCTCACTAAAGACCATTGCAAGATCCTCGTACACTGCTGGGTACTCGCCCTGATTCCCATCCGTTATGTGATCTGCCCCTTCCCCTTTCATGTTGCTATTATACCGCTCCGGGACTGGTGGTTGAGGGCCTGCTGTAAGGCGTAGATGGCGGGAGCCATCTGCCCACCATATGGTTGGTGTCCATTTATCCAACCACGCCAACCCCAGGATAATAGCCTCTGACATGGATGGAACTACTATGAATCTCAACATCTCCCAATGCGCGGCTACTTCCATCCTAACGGGTTCAGTCACTAGCGTAGTCGGGGCCCCTCCTAATACGGACCCATCCACCTGCTCAAAGCGAATGGGGGACTTCAATCGGGTCACCCTAATATGCATCTGGGACGCCACCTCCTTGCTAATAAGACATCTGGTGCAGCCAGTGTCAACCAATGCCTGGAATGATTTTGTCTCCCCAGTGACCGGGCTAGTCAATGTTACCGGAATGTTAAATGGGACTATCGGTTCACTCACCATAGGATCCTCCACCTGACCTTCCTCTTCATATTCGTGGAGCACTGGGGTCGTATCACCAGGGAGTTGTTGGAACGACGTCTGAGCCGTCTGGGATGCAACTCGGGACTTCTCCGCCGTTCTCTTCGGCGTAACGCCCGGTCTTCCGATTGCCGTTGGTGTACCGGTCAGCTCGGTTAGATCTGTTATCCCGCACTCTGCGGCCCGGTGGCCCGGCCGGTTACAGCGGAAGCACCTGAATACGGGCTTCGGCCGGGTGGTACCCGGTACGGCTTGTGTACTGCCCTCTCCGGATCGGTCTGGAGCACGGCGCGCGGGCGGCCTGTCGGCATGTACGTCGGGACGGTCCCTCAGTCCAAATTCCAACTCCATGGCAGCTTTAAACCAGTCGATCAGGCGTCCCACAACTCCTCTCACCGCACAGGCGCGACGTATGTCCGAATCCAAGCCAGCCTGGAAGTGGTGAATCAGTAAACGATCCGGCCACGACCTCAGCCTCCCGGCCGCCTTTTGGAATTCGCGGATATAGGTCTTCACCGGTATACCCCTCTGCTTTAACCCCACTATTTGGGCCTCAGCTCTTTGTAACCGGGTTGGGTCGTCGAACCTTGCTCTCAGCGCCTCGAGGAACAGCCCTACGTCGGTCAACTCTCTTGCCTGGTCGCTGTATAGATCTGCGGCCCAAGCAGCGGCTTCACCCTGCAAGCATGCTGTGACCGCCACCACCATCGCCCAATTGGAGGAATATAAGGTGGTAGAGCGGTCCAGGTGGTTTAGCACGTGGCTCAGGAACACTGCTAACCGATCTGAGTCACCATCGAACGTGAGGGTGATCGGGGGGGGTTCCATACCATGTTCTGTGGCCATGGGGTTGGCGCCTGACCCCCGTACGGGGCAGTCCCCGGGTGTGGTATAGGGCGAAACCCCTCCCCCATGGACCCTGCCCTTTGTCTGTCGGTACCTAAAGATTGTCCTGCCGCCGGGCGTGGTCCCAGGCTGTAACGGGGTCGCTCCACTTCAACCCGCCCCGGGCCAGGGTCCTGGAACGCAAACTGATCACTTGATTTTAATTCCAATCCTGGACTGGACAGGCGGAAACGGGAGGAATAGGACGGACTGTCCTTAACAGGACTACGGAGTGTTGCGGGATGAAGACGTTCCCCGAACTGCTCTCTTAGCACATCTAAGGTATACTGTCCTGGAGCCGTGGAGCAGCTCCATTCCTCCTCCGGATCTCCAGTCACCCGGCGTTCCCTCCATCCGGTAAAACTCGGCGCTAACCGCCGCCCCCTATTGTCCTCTGGTCCTTCCCACGCCGAACCTAGCCACCAGTCGGCCTCGCCCCCCCCCGGGCGTTGTAGCTTTAAACTTGGTTCCAGCACCTCCGGAATGCGAACCCTCTCCTTTGGTCGCACTATTGGCTGCTTGACTGCTGCGCTGCCGACATCCGGACTCTCCAGCTGTTCGTCGGGTTCCGCCGCCTCTGCGGTCTCCACCGGGTCTGCCCCTTGTGTTCCCTCCGCCATGACGCTGCAGGCAACCGGCGTCGAACAGCAAGCAAGAAATGAGGGTAAACTTACTGTAAGGAACGTCCTTGAGTGAATCAGGCAAGCAATACACCAGGCACGCTCCAGAATGCAACAAAGTTTATTGCACGTTGCAGGAAACAAAGTTTACCCTGGGAGAGGCTCCAACCCCGCGCGCTATATGCCGTCCCGGGCTACACCCACAGCACACACCCTCATCAAGCCTTATAAGGATACCCCGCCCATAATCCACCCATCCACCCCACCCTGTGCTAACCTCCACCGCAGCAAGCCCCATGAAACAAGTCCTCAGTCAGTCCCACAGCAGCAAGCCCCGTGAAACAAGTCCGTCCCCCGCCCTAACTGATATTAGATCCTGTCAGACCCAGCGGCAATTCATAGCTCCTGCCCACAGCCCCCATCCCCCGTGTTGGCTTCCACGTGAGGACGTCACATGCCCAATCAGCTGGCTGCACGCAGATCACGCCGGCGGTGTAGGTGCCGTCCCGCCGGAGCCGCCAGGACGCGCTCGCCGTTGGCGCAGGCTGGAGGCTGCAAACGGCCAGGTTGGTAGCGGCCAGGTTGGTAGTGTGCTGGGTCTGACAGTAGGCTTTACAAAAGAGGCTTATGGGCAAAATCTTGAAGAATTCTATGCAATGGGACAAAGAAGAAATGAAAAGAAATCAAATCATAAGACAATATTTGAATGAATTAAAAATTAGAAATGTTAGAAGTAAAAAAGAAGGAATATAAAGTTGGTTTATTTGGTCAAGATTAAAACAAGCTATGATGTTATCTCTGATAATTCTTGATAGAATTTCTGTGGACATTAGGACTGAAAAGATGATGTTTTAGGGATTTGTTTATAGATAAATATGATCTATGAAGAGATAAATGTTTGCAACATTAAAGGGAGTAAAGAGTCACTAAATTTGTTTATACTTGGGGTGATGGTTGGAAGTCACTTCTTTATATATTTCTTCTTTCTTATTATATTTCTCTTATAGATACAGAAAGATCCTTCCAGAAAGAAGTAGGTTTTTAAAGATGGCCTGAAGAGAAAGTTTACTAGATATCCGGTAAAAGGAGGACATGTTCTCTGTTCACCAGGCATAGCCTAAAATCAAATATTGTCTGGCTTTTTGAGTACTTCTTCTTGAGCAATTTTTCTCTGTGTGACAGTGCTTCCCTAATAAGTGCTAATGGCAAGTTAACAAGCTCAGCAATACGACCTTAATTGGTTGATTAGTACCCTCCTGCTTGCCCTGCTGCCTGGAATTGACAGGACCTTAATCAGTTACATGTCAAAGGCTTTTGCCTCTTAACCAGCTCTAACACACTCCTGCAACTGAAAAAAACGGTCTTTCTGATGCTGGAAAAAAGTAATATATACTATATGTGTATGTTTATGTACTTTGGGGGGGCAGGTTTTCACTGTAACTTTTGTTGCAAATGCCAAAAAAGTTAAGCAATTAACATGTCCTCCTTTCCCCCCCTCCCCAGCTCATTTGTCCTCCTTTTCAATGGTCCATGCCCTCTTTTGACTCTTCAGATACATGATAACCCTACCTAGAGAGGGCCAAGATGAAGGCCATGTGGATCTCTGGAGGTATGCTGTCCCCCAGGGTAGGTTATTATTAAAATATCACTTTTTTTTCTTCCTAGCATTTTCCCACAAATGCAGAATTTTCTTTTTGTGAGTGTTGATCTATTGGTTGCAACAGGAATTGACTGATCAGCTTCTTGTCCAAGCCTGACATCAACAGCTGAGAATGATTGACTCAAAGTCATCCAGTGGGCTTTCATGTCTAAGTTGGGACTACAATTCACATTTTCCTGGTATTTTGACAGGTGCCTTAATCATGAGAGAAAGAAAGAGGAAGAGGAAGAGAAAGAGAGACTATTTATGGCTCTAATTAATCTTATTACTTGGGAAGAAGGAAGGAAATGAATTTCATCTAAAATAAAATATGTTCATATTTTATGGCATCTTTCCCAAAATGGTGTTGCTGGAAGTTAACTCATAATTCCCAGCCCAGCTCAGCTGAAAGGCACTAGCTTGCAAAAGGCTATTACAAGTACTCATGTTTATATTGAAGTCCTTACTCGAAGAACGGCAGTGATGTTTTGATATACAACTTAGTGTGATATAATACACATAGTTTCTAGTTAAAAACATGACTTATAATTTAACACTACTATTTTGATGCTTCAGTATAAAGGTGTTCTGTTATTGGATCTCTATTATTAGTATCTATTGTCTGTCCAAGACCTATACAGCTTTGTCAACAACATCAAACGTCAACTAGATTTTTTTCCCATTTCAATATGCACTCAGGGTATTTTGTTTTGAGAACTCCCCCCAAAGTAAGGAAGGCAGTCACTGCTGCATAATTGGAGCCTGGCCACTTTTTATGTGCATCAAAAAAGGAGGGGCTTCAACTGTATGGTCAGGACTGCCACCTGGATGTTTTTAACATTCCATGGAAGCCTCTGAATCCAGCTCTGATAAATATGTCTAACGTTAACAAGTTTGGATCCCAAATGGCTCCTCTTTCACATACTGCATAGGTAGGGACTATTTCGGACCACTTCCCCTTCACATTCAGCATCATGTGTTAGGTCCAAAAACTATTTTTCCAAGACTTCCCAATCCCCCAGAAGCAGATTTTCAGGGGACCACAAAAGGAATTATATATAAAGTCAACAATTTCCTAAAAGAACAATGTTCTAGCAACATATACCTAATTTAACATTGCCAATCACAATGTGTTAATCTAACAAATAAGGAGAATAAATAAAATCATTTGATTGGTTGATTTTCTAAAGAAGACAAGTTATCTTTGGGTCAAGCTCAATTCCAGATCACTCACGGTATATGTACACATCCGAGCATCTCTGGGGGGGGGGGGGTGTATGGTTTGAAATGTTTAACCAGTACTTTCTTCCTGAATGATTTTCAATTCCCCAGGCTAGCTGTACCCCTAACATACTCAGGTAGCTTCCCAGCCCCACATCCAGGTACTATAAAGAGATAGTTACCTACAGAAATATTTTGGGGAGATAGAAACTCATATTTAATAGGGCAAAGTGCCTTAAATATCTTGAATTTCAAAAAACCATAATATGTTGAAGACATCTTTTTTCATTACAAGAACATTTGTTCCACATCAGATAACATTTCTAACAATTTCTGGCAATTTAGGTCTTAATGATAATAATCACACCTATATTTCCTTAGCACTCAGCTACAAAGAAATGTGATTCTTAGGTCATAAAAGGACATTTTAATTTATCTGAAAAAGTAGAGTTTTAGGACAAAATAGGCTTTTAAACCCTGACTACATATACTGTTTTTAAACAATATTGGGCTTCTTATGGACTGATTTTTAGTCAAACAAAGCATTACAGGAAATGACACTCCAGATTTATAACATTGTATTGTTGTGGCAGCAGTAGATTCATGAAGTTCTGCTAAATATCTTGATGGGTTCTGAAACAGAAAGATGCAAACAGAAATACACTTTATGTACATTTGTTTTTAGCATTACCAATCTGATTTAAATAAAGTTCTATCAATATAAAGTGTATGCACCATTTGATTAATTTGATTTGACTGATCCAGTTGCCTTTTGAAAAAGCACCTTTGAGACAACTATGACCTAGATGACTGAGAATCTCCACAGACATTAGATTCAGTGTGTGATTGTTCATATGATGGCCTAGTTTCACTCAAATGAATAGGATTTTGTTCTGAGTAAATATGCATAAGACTTCAGCAATAATGTATTTTGTAACTGAGTTATATGTTCAGAGTTGGACTTAATTATTAGGAAATAGCAAAAACAAAAACAAAAAAAACCAGTGAAGATAGGCTCCCCTAGATTACCCCCAGTCCTGGCTTCAGAGTGAAATTATAGTAATATAAGATGCTCCTTGACCCCAAACACTCTAGAAAAATATTTTGCACTTGTTGAAGAAAGAGCTTTGAAGAAGGCCTATTGCAGAAATTTGAAGATCTGGATTTTACAAACTAAGAATTGGCAGATTCAATGAATGATATACTGGACTCTTTTAAGAAGATAGACTTATCACAACTGATTGGTAAACAATTTGGACTGGATTTTCCTGGGTAGATGGATAAGTTTTGGAAAATGGATTTATCATACCTAACCAGACAATAACTGACAAAGAGACTTTATATCTTGATTCACAGGAAAAGTGCTTAACAATGGATGTGGTAGAGATATTTACAGCGGGGGTTTAGAATACTGGAAAATAAGATATTGTTGGGAAAGCTTCCACTAAAAATCTTAAGGGAAAGTTTTATTATTAAGAATCAAACAAAGATATTTGATCCTGGATAGATCAGGGATAATGACTATGGTGATTTGTGGCAGATAAACTGTTGTAGACTTTTCACAAATTAAATACAACGACAGATTGTTAACAGACAGCTTTGAAGTTTAATTTTGCTATTGATTTACCTATTAACTATTTTGTTTTTACATATAATTGATAGATGACAGGCTAAGTTGGTTGTAAATAGATATAGAAGTTTATAGACTATGGGCCTACTTTGCAAAGGGAGAAACTAACATCGTTGCAATATATTTATTTGTAATCAACCAGGGGATATAATAGTTATATATGGGGGTTTTTTTTGTCCTTTTAAAGACACTTTTTAAATGCTCTGTCCATTTTGCTTGTTGTTTGTTAAATTTTATTTTTGGGAATTCGTATTTTAACTTTTTGAGCAAAATAAAAAATTAGAAAAAAATAAATTCTGATAATTTCAAACAAATATTTAAATCAACTTTATTTATTTATTTATTTACACTTTCCCAACCATCCCCATCCCCACTGAGCTGACTTCAGTCACTTGAGCACCCACTCCCACCTGGTAGCAGCTACCCCAGCATACATCCCCTACCCATACTCACATCATGCCTTACTTACCTACTGGTCTACTTGCAAGCCACCTGGGATTACCATCACTAAACAATGTGGTCACTTGATGTCTCGTTTATGACTGCATCACTCAGCAATGGAAATCCCAGTCCCCATTACTATTACCATTACTGATGACTACCTGTTTTGATTTCAGCTAGTAACCGTTATCTGACAAAATATTTCAATATGTACTTTTGAACTTTGAAATGTTTACTTATCTTTCATGTCTACAGAAACATGGTGGGATGAAACCCACAAATGGAACACACAGCTAGAGGGATTTAAATTATTTAAAAGAAACAGATCAAATAAAAGAGGAGGTGGAGTTGCTCTCTATAAAAGAAATAACTACATCTCCACAGAAATAGAGCACAACAATGACGAAAACTGTCTTGAATGCATTTGGGTCAATATAAAAGAGAGAGAAAAATGACATTGCCATAGGTGTATACTATAGGCCACCCAACCAAACAGAGGAAATAAATGAACTTTTTGCTAGTCAGCTAACTAAGGTATGTAGGAAGCACATCACCATAGTAATGGAGGAGTTTAATTACCCTGACATCAACTGGGAGACAAACCCTGCACCAAGTGGAAGATCAAACAGATTCCTGACCAACCTAGCAGACAACTTTGTCTCCCAAAAAGTAGAGAAGGGAACTAGGGGATTAGCCATTTGGGATCTAATTCTCACTAACAGAGATGAAATGATAGAAGGTGTTGAAGCCACAGGAATCTTGGAGGTAGTGATCATGCAATATTGGAATTCAACATTATGGAAGCACAAGCAATAGAACATAGTCAAACTAGAGTCTTGGACTTCAAGAGAGCTAATTTCAATAAACTTAGAGAGGGCTTGGGAAAGATTCCATGGATGAGAATCCTCCAGGGGAAAACAATGCAAGAAGCTTGGGAAATTTTGAAAAGCAAGATAATAGAAGCCCAGTCTAGCTCAATACCAACAAAGAGGAAAAATAACAACTCTCAAAAGAAACCAGCATGGCTGCATAAAGAACTCTCTAACAAATTAAAAGATTAAAAGGATAAGTATAGAAAGTGGAAAGAGGGGCACATAACTAAGTCAGAATATCAGCAAATAGCCTGAGCCTGCAAAGATGAAGTGAGGAAAGCCAAGGCTCAAAATGAACTAAGGCTTGCGACCAAAGTCAAAAATAACAAAAAAAGCTTCTTTTAATATGTAAAAAACAAGAAAAAAGTGAAGGAAACAATTGGTCCATTAGTGGGTGAAAGTGGTAAGAAGGTGACTAGCAATAGGGAGAAAGTAGAACTATTTAACTCGTTTTTTGCATCTGTCTTTACACAAAGGGAAAAAACAGACCAACCTATCAAAAATAGTGCCAATAAAAAACAGTATAGAAACACAAGTTAAGATAAGCAAGAAAATGATAAGTGAGCACCTGACCAGCCTAGACAAGTTCAAATTGCCAGGACCAGATGGATTACACCCCAAGGTTCTCAAGGAACTGGCAGATGTGATCTCAGAACCACTGAACTATATTTTTCAAAGATCTTGGAGCACTGGGGAACTACCAGAGGACTGGAAAAGAGCTGATGTAGTTCCCATCTTCAAAAAAAGAAAAAGAACGGATCCAGGAAATTACAGACCTATCAGCCTGACCTCAATACCTGGGAAGATTCTGGAAAAGATAATCAAACAACGAATCAGCGAACACCTAGAGGCAAACAAAGTCATTACTAAAAGCCAACATGGGTTTGTCAAAAACAGATCATGCCAGACAAATCTTATTGCATTCTTTGACCAAGTGACAAAATTAGTGGATCAGAGGAATGCTGTGGATATAATTTACTTGGACTTCAGAAAGGGATTTGATAAAGTAGATCACAACCTACTACTCGATAAGATAGAAAAATGTGGGTTAGACAGCATCACCACCAGATGGATTCGTAGCTGGCTGACCGGCCATACTCAGCATATGGTCCTCAATGGAATTGCATCTACATGAAGGGAAGTGTGTAGTGGAGTGTCCCAGGGCTCTGTTCTAGGCCCAGTGCTCTTCAACATCTTCATCAATGATTTGGACTAGGGGATAGATGGGGAACTCATCAAATTTGCGGATGACACCAAGCTGACAGGAATAGCCAACACTCCAGAAGACAGGCTTAAGATACAGGAGGAACTGGACAGACTTGAACACTGGGCACTATCTAACAAAATGAAATTCAGTGGTGAAAAAAGTAAGGTTCTACATTTAGGCAAGAAAAACCAAATGTACAGGTATAGTACAGGGGGTACCTTGCTCAATAGTAGTAACTGTGAGAGGGATCACGGAGTCCTAGTAGACAATGACTTAAATATGAGCCAGCAGTGTGCTGCAGCTGCCAAAAAAGCCAACACAGTGCTAGGCTGCATTAACAGAGGGATAGAATCAAGATCGCGTGAAGTATTAATACCACTTTACAATGCCTTGGTAAGGCCACACTTGGAATTCTGCATCCAGTTTTGGTCACCACAATGTAAAAAAGATGCTGAGATTCTAGAAAGAGTACAGAGAAGAGCAACAAATATGATTAGGGGACTGGAGGCTAAAACATATAAGGAACGGTTGCTGGAATTGGGTATTTCTAGTTTAACGAAGAGAAGGACAAGGGGGGACATGATAGCAGTGTTCCAATATCTCAGGGGCTGCAACAAAGAAGAGGGAGACAAGCTATTCTCCAAGGCGCCTGAAGGTAGGACGAGAAGCAATGGATGGAAACTGGTCAAGGAGAGAAGCAACTTAGAACTAAGGAGAAACTTCCTGACATTTAGAACAATTAACCAATGGAACAACCTGCCTCCAGAATCGGTGAATGCTCCAACACTGGAAGTTTTTAAGAAGAGACTGGGCAACCATTTGTTTGAAATGGTGTGGGGTTCCTGCCTGAGCAGGGGGTTGGACTAGATGACCTCCA